GTAAATATGTTGGGGGTCTATATAGATGCTTTGATCATGGCATCTAGACTTTTCTCTAAGACACTGAATCATTTCTTGTGATTAGAACTTGGTGGAACAGAATTTATTGATTGATGATGAGGAGACTGGTTTGAATATAGAAGATTGGGATATGGAAAATTGTTCTATGTGTTGAATAGACCTATGTTTCCCCTAGGAAGTTGTGGAGTTTGAGTGGGAGTAAAATTTTGATTTTGTGAGAAATTTTCCTAATTCCATGTAAAATTGAGATGGTTTCTCTAACTAGGATTATAGGTTGGAGAAAATAGATTATTTGTAGGATGGTGGAACATAACATTCATCTGATCTAATGATTGATTGTTTCCTAAAAGAGGGTATTCCTCGGAAACATGAGCTGAAGAGAGCCAGTTATGACTTTCTGGGAAAGAAACTTGGTTGATTTAAGCTGAAGCTCGTTCTTTAGCTTTTAAGGCTTCTAACTGATGCAGAAATATAGTCATCTTAGCTTCAAGGTTCATGTTTGACTCTAGGAAAGACCACTAACATTTAGTTGTGGAAACTTGCAAAACCACATAAATTTGAGTATATTGTGATACATAATAATAAATATGTTATAATGTGATAAATAATATATTTTAACATTTGAGTATACTAGGGATTGACTTGAGATCAATCCAATGTATATATATGAGCTTAGAAGAGATACATGCACGAAAGCATGAAAAAATTTGTATTTGTGCTCTTAGTAGTTGACTACACTATTAGTAGTCGACTAGTAAGGCCATTAGTCGACTAATAGTAGTATTAGTCGACTAGTCGGGTTGTTTTTAGTTTTCTTATGGGTTTCGGGTCGGATTCGTTTTGTTTCGAACTCAGTTGTATTTATGCATACATATACTCGTTTTAAAGCTCTTTTTATCCTCTTTCACATGAGATTAACACCAGCCACCTTCCTCCTCAAACCCTAACCCTAAAGTGTGAGTTTTGGGAGAGATCTCGAGGTGTTTGTCGAGAGAAAGGCAAGGCTTTGCGGTTTCTGACGAAGAAGGGATCTTGCACGCATGTTCAAGAGTTCAACACAGCATTTAAGGCAAGATCATCTTCATCCAAACCTGTCCCTATAATTAGTTAAAGTTTTGAAGATGTTTAATTGATGTTTTCATGGTTAAGTGTAACCTAATGTGATAAAAATCAGATATTTTTGATGATAAATCTTAACCCTATGCTAGATCTGAAGTTAAATCTTTGTTGTTGATGATAGAAACATGATCATTATCATTAGGGTTGATGTTAATTTCATTTTTAACTTGCTAAATTATGTTTAACTCATGAGTAAACCATAATTAGTTGTTTAATTGAGTTTTCTTGTAAGCTAATCATGCTAAAACCCTAGGTTTGTGATACCTAAGTTATATAAACATGTATAAACAAAGTTGCACCTCTGTTCATGAGTAGTTTTTATCAAGTGTTGATAATTACATTGTTTAATTAAGAGCTAATTGAGGAAATTGACTAATAAGGATGTTAATCCCTAATTAGAACAAGTTAATAGATTTGTTTCATGTTCAGGATGATTTCTGTTGAATATCCCTAATTAGAACAAGTTAATAGATTTGTTTCATGTTCAGGATGATTTCTGTTGAATATTACATGTTTTCATTTGTACTAAATCTCATGATAAGTATATTGTTCAGGATGATTTCTGTTGAATATTACATGTTTTCATTTGTACTAAATCTCATGATAAGTATATGATAAATGATAAGCTCTGTTTGTGCATGAAAGAATGCATGTTTTGACAAAGTAGTCGACTACTAAGTTTAGTAGTCGGCTACTCATGTTCAATTTGGATTTTTAGAAACTGGAATATTACAGAGTAGTCGACTAATGTGCTTAGTAGTCGACTACTAACCTTGATACATGCCTCACAGAGTCTGGATGGACTCAGTGTAGTCGACTACTAAGCTTAGTAGTCGACGACTAAGACTTTTCCTGAATATTGTGTTGCACTGTTTTGAGATGCGATCGCGGGGTTCAAGTCGCACGATAGTACACGTATAGACAAGAATATACATGAATAGTGTCGTAGTACAAACATGAGTATCCCAAAGGGGATTTTGACAAGTGTTGAGCTGATTACACTTGAGTTAGAGATCGTTTATACACATGTTGGATATCGTTGATGAGCTCAGTTCAGTACTACGTGTGGTGGTGCATCGATATTCCATTTGTACAGGCCATTGAGTCGGGTTTGGATGCTTTGTCTAGCAGCCCGTCCGCACGTAGATGCGATGAGGCTGGTGAGCCGTCTCTTAGGATACCTATATGGTAGGTTGTCCTACACTCATGTTACGTATTGAGATCGTGATGAGACTAATGAGCTGTGTACATTGTTAGGATACCTACAGGGTATTCCATTGCGCATGATAATGCGATGAATTAGAAATTTTTGCAAAGAGTTGCAATATGAAAATTATGTGATAGCCTGAGTTTGGTGGATGCCAAAAGTGAATTCGACTCGTTGTTGAGATATTTGATAACTGAGATACCTTGTTGTGCGAGTACATGAGATACATATACTGATGGTTATTTCGATGCTTTATCTTTCCTGTTATGTTTCCTTTCATTCTTAGTTCGGGATTAATATTTTGTTAGCTACAATTTGAGACATATGGTATATACATGAGGGTTTCCTTATTTGGATTATTTCGATCGACGTACTACGTCTCATGTTGTAGATTTCTAAGTATTAATACCATTAGATACGGGGAAAAGGATCTAGGTAGACTATGCTTAATAGATTGAGGCAGGTCAGAGTTCCGGAGAGCCTCAGGATGACGGAGTTCTAGCATAGTTGTCGTCTCGCATTTTAGTAGTTGAGACTCCATTATAGTTTTATGTTCTCATTCAGATATTAGAGTTTTGTTTTCATATTGTAAAGGCAGTGTGCCTTAATACGATTTTTAGCTGATTCATGTTGAGACATTTTTATTATTCCAGATATCAGATGTATTTCAGTTGGGACATGATTTTTATTTATGAGATATCTCTTTCTATATCATGTCTATTATTTTTATTTCCTTATTTTGCCTATTTTGTATCTACGTTTATATTTAATTTCACTAGAGGATATTATTGTGATTGGTGAAACGTGTTATTGTACGGTGTGGGTGTATGGCATGTTTGACATCTTTGGGTTCACCTTGGACTGCAGCCATGTGTGAAAATAGTGGCGTCACAGTTGGTATTAGAGCTCTAGTTCCACCATCCTTAGGAACATCCTGTGTCGAGTCGTGGAGCTAGAATAGAGTTTCTTAGGATTCATGTATAGAGTCCACTAGGAATTCATAGAATGAGTGAGGATGTTATATACGTATACCTCAAAAATTACAAAAATAAATTTATGACTATCTTACTTCGATTGAAGAGTATTTGCATGAATGATTTACGATACGATTTTTCTTATTACTCTATGTTATATATGCTTTTGTCTGAGGTCTCATAATTGCGTCTTATAAACTCTCTTACTGGGAATTTATAGATGGTCAGATGAGGATGTGGACGGAGAGTATTCCGTGCTCAGAGAGAGAGACAGGATGAGCCAGAGCCAGAGCCAGAGCCACAGCAGGCTCCACCCGAGCAGCAGCATGCTCCACCTGAGTCGTAGTAGGCTCCACAATACCTCATAGACCTCATAACACCTATAGCAGCTAGGCTAGCAGCGCTCGAGGAGTGAATGGCGAGCCAGACTCTACCAGTTGCACCACCGCTTGTAGTTCCACCACCAGTGATTCCAGCCATTCCTATTTCAAAGGAGTCCTCGGACGATACAGCAGGACTCACCCCACCATCAGTTGTAGCTACAGAGCAGGAGGCTTGGCTTCTCCTAGTCGGGAGGTACCAAAAGATGAGGGTACCAGAATTTTAGGGGTCATCAGATTCGCTTGTAGCCCACAAGTGGAAGGAGGACGTGAGTAATATCCTTGATCTACTTAACGTTGATTCAGTACAAAAGCAGAGGATTGGCAGCTTTCAACCTAAAGGGTGATGCCAGAGGATGGTACAGGCTTCAATTCACCCCAGAGTACGGGATGATACTCCCATGAGAGGACTTCGTCTATTTCTTTGATGAGCAGTACATCTCTTTCACGGCACGGGTAGAGAAAGAGCTGAAGTTGACCAGATTGGAGCAGGGAGACATGACCGTAGTTGACTACCAGAGCCGATTCATGAGTCTACTTCATTTCACAGGCATGTGGCAGATAGGAGAGCACCAGGCGCAGATGTTTCTTACGGGGCTTCATCCAAGCCTTAGTCGCTACCTCGTATCTAAGAGGTTCCGCTCAGTTTGAGAGGTAGCTAATACAACCATTTCGTAGGAGACAGAGACTGTGATGTTCTAGAAGACCAGAGAGGGTAGCTCTAAACCAGGGCCAGAGTGACAAGGGTAAGGGTAAGAGACCTTTCGCCGGACCTGGAGGACCCCAGCAGTGGGGTAAGGATTTTTAGCACCAGCAGCAGGGTCAGTCCAAGAGAGAACCACAGCCTGATCAGAGAGTGCCGCAGCAACACAGGATTCAGGGTGCATGTTACATTGTAACAAGATTGGGCATAAGGTCAGGGATTGTCGTAGTTCACCATTAGGAGGCCAGCAGGGCAGAGGCCAGGGCCAGTAGTAGGGACGAGGACACGGGCAGCAGCAGAACTATGGTCAGGGTCAGCAGCAGCAGAGGATAGAGGCACCACCTGCCGTTCTGAGGATTGAGGGGCCGGCGGGCCAGATTCGCGCTATTCAATAGTTTCCTCAGGGTCAGACAGACCCATATGTTCCACTACCAGCAACGCAATAGGCGCCAACCACCGGCAGGGCTTATGCAGTCGTACCACGTGATCATAGTGCCAGCGGAGCCATAGTGGAAGGTACCTTCTTAGTGAATTCCTTCCCAGCTCGGATCTTGTTTGATTTAGGAGCTTCACATTTTTTTATATCTCATACCTTTATGGATAGGCTTCAATTAGTCGCACATCTTTTAGATGTTTCGTTATCCATCTCTACTCCTTTAGGGGAGGTATCCCTATTAGAGAGTGTCTATAGGAGATGTGCCATCGGTCTAGATGAGTCCGAGTTTATCATCGATTTGATCATTTTGCGGATGTTGGAGTTCGACGTTATTCTTGATATGGCTTGGCTATCATCCTATCATGTCAGTATCGACTATTTTGCTAAAACAGTCAGCTTGCGGGCGTCCGATAGGTCTAAGTTGATCGTAGCGACCTCACAAGGCTACCAGATTACGGAGTTATTTCTGGCGTACGTCGAGGAGGTGATGCTGAGGGACCGAAGTGCTGATTTGTATGAGACTAGAGTTGTCTAAGATTATTAGGATGTCTTTCAGGACATACCTGGGTTACCTCCTATGAGAGAGGTTGAGTTCTGCATCGAGTTGTAGCCAGGCACAACATCGATATCCCAAGCACCCTATCATATGACACCTGCTGAGATGAGAGAGTTACAGACCCAGTTAGATGAGTTGTTATCTCAGGGCTTTATTTGTCAGAGTCATTCTCCGTGGAGAACACCAGTCCTCTTTGTGAAGAAGAAGAAGAAGGACGGTAGCATGCGTTTGTGCATAGATTATCGTGAGTTGAACAAGGTCACTATCCGAAACAGGTATCCACTACCAAGGATCGATGACTTGTTCGACCAGCTGCAGGGAGCACAGCATTTTTCAAAGATTAATCTTCATTCTAGCTATCATCAGTTGCAAGTTCAGAAGATGAATATTCCTAAGACCGCTTTTCTGACTCGATATGGGTCCTTCAAATTTCTTGTCATGCCTTTTGGGCTGACCAATGCACCCGCGGTATTCATGGATTTGATGAACCGGATTTTTCATCCATATCTGGACCAGTTCGTGATTGTATTCATTGACGGATATCCTTATCTATTCGAGATTAGAGGCAGAGCATGAGCAGCATCTTCGATTGGTATTGTAGACTTTGCGGGAGTATCAGTTGTACGCTACGTTCAACAAGTGCAAGTTTTTGCTATCTGATGTCAGATTTTTGGGCCATGTCATCAGAAGAGAGGGCATTGTAGTGGATCCTGCGAAAGTAGAGGCAGTACTTGATTGGGAGCCGTCAAAAACCATTTCAGAGATTCGTAGCTTTTTGGATTTGGCAGGCTACTACAGGAAGTTCATTCAGGACTTCTCAAAGATTGTGACGCCACTTACACTCCTTACGAAGAAGGATGTACCATTTGTTTAGGGCATGGAGTGCCAGGAAGCCTTTGAGACTTTAAAGGCTACGTTGACTATAGCGCCGGTATTGACAATTCCGAGCAGCGATAAAACTTTTGTTGTCTACACAGATGTGTCATTAGCAGGCCTAGGAGGTGTTTTGATGTAGACCCAGAGCATAGTGGCTTATATCTCACGACAGTTGAGGATGCATGAGCAGAACTATCTCATGCACGACTTGGAGTTAGAAGCAGTGGTCTTCGTACTGAAGACATGGAGACACTATCTGTATGAAGTACAGTTTGAGAAATTCACAGATTATCATAGCTTGAAATACCTCTTCTCTCCAAAAGAACTCAATCGGAGACAGGGGCGATGGGTTGAGTTCATCAAGGACTACGAGTTTGCGATTCAGTACCATCCAGGAAAGGCTAATGTGGTAGCAGATGCATTCAACAGGAAGCGTCGGCATCGGATTGTGGCTCTGAGGTGCTTGGTGTATCAAGATCTTCACACCCTTAGCCAGTTTGACTTTAGACCGGAGATTGACGGGAGCAGCGTATTTTTGGGAGCTTTTGTCATGCCCCGCTTCCAGAAATACCGGGGAATCGGAACGTGAACAAGCACGCGACGTATTAGACTAAAGAGAAATAAATACTAGACCATTTCTACTCAATCTAATATGCTAAGCGTCAAATATAAAGTGCGAAGTCACAGGTCCCCGATCACATTTAGCAAGAATATAATAAACAACTCAAAACAAAATGATACATATCACAATTGAAATATCATCCCAGATATAATATTTGGGCCAAACATGCCCTAATACAAAACAATCCAACTGAAATAGTGGAGGAACATAAAAATACATCGATCAAGCGGAAATGGAAGGTGCTACAAAGGTAAACAAGGACCATCGAACAACTAAAGGAAATAACTAAGCTTCGATTTCTTCTTCTACTCTGTCTGCAAAGCACTCCTGTTGAGAATACTCTGACTCTTACCGAACTGGTCTGTCCTCTAAATCTGATGCACAACCCGAGAGAACAGGAGTACGTCAGCATGCATGACACACGACAAGATCCTACAAGGGAGAAAAAGATCAAATGACCAATGCAAGAACAAATGCAATAACAATAATGACAATAGATCCACCACTAGAGTATAACAATCAGAAGAATCCATAAACATCCGAGTAACAAGGTCATACAACTAGATAGAATTAATACTTAAAACAATCAGAAGAATCCATAAACATCCGAGTAACAAGGTCATACAACTAGATAGAATTAATACTTAAAAATTTACAACACGAGACGTAGTACGTCGAACAAAATAATCCAAACAAGGAAACCCTCATGTATATATCATATGTCTCAAATTGTAGAAAATTAAATATTAATCCCGATCTTTGTATGAAAAGAAATATAACTAGTCCACATCTCACAAGAATCCATAATCATCTAAGTAACGAGGTCATGTCATCTCACAAGAATCCATAATCATCTAAGTAACGAGGTCATGTAACTAACCATCCTATAACAGGTTACTAGTCCATATCTCACATAGAGTCAGTAACGAGGTCATGTAACTAACCATCCTATAACAGGTTACTAGTCCATATCTCACATAGAGTCAACGTTTATATTATCGGATAACTGACTGTTCACAAATCTTCTACGCGCATCCAATACCGCTACACGAATCAGTTAGAGGACTATACCCAATCCAATTTCGGCCTGGTCCGAACTCAAGCAAAACTCGGGTGACTACACAAATTCACTGACCAAAGTGACTACACGAATTCACTTTGGCCTAACAAACCAACCCCAGTGACTACACGAAATCAGTGGTACAAACCTGGAAGATACATCAACAGCCACATCCGATCACATGAACCAAGACTTTCCCCACCCCAACTCTTCTTGTTTTTCTAAGTCAACATACACATGTCTCTAGGTCTTGTACAAGGCCACTAAGGTCATGAACTACTAACGGTTCTCAATCATAACAAGGAATAAATGCAACTGATCATGAGCACTAATGTCATGGCATATCACAAATAATCAAAATTAAGAGTCATAAATTATGAACAGCGTCTATGTAATTCAGAAAATAACCTTTTTTCAAAATAATTTCCTTTAAATTATTTTCTCATATACTAATTCAACATAAACCCTTTTTCAAAATAACTCCTTATAAATAATTCTAAAAATATTCTTTAAATATTCTTTTTAATATTCTCTCTTCCAAATTAAATTCTTTTCTCATTATAATAATTCTTAAAATAATCTTTAAATATAATAAGCTATTAATTCAAATAATTTTTTTCTCTAAAATAATTCTTATCCTTACAATATCAGTTATTCCCATCGATCATCAACCAATCCATGCAGATAATAACTAATTACAGTCTAATCTATGCATTTAATTTAATGACTGATATAAGAAATGACGAGTCAAGAGGAGCGGGATCTTGCCAGCGAGGCCAAGGGGCCTGATGACAAGACGGCGGTGATGCTACGGATGTGGTACGACGGATCTGAAACGGGTGAAGCAGCGGATCTGGATGGCGTGGCTGAAGGGGACAGCGACGACGTCGCTGCAGGAGAGCAGCGGTGGCACGATGGCGAGGTAAGAGAGAGAGAGAGAGAGAGAGAGAGAGAGAGAGAGAGAGAGAGAGAGGGAGAGAGAGAGAGAGAGAGGAAGATTATATATATATATATATATATAGGATTAGGGAATATTATATATATAGGATTAGGGTTTAGGGAATAATTAATATAATTAATAACAATACTTATAATAACAATAACAATAATAAAACCAATATTAATTTAAAAGGTTTTCACCGTAACAATTTAATTTATAATTAGAAAAATCATTAAATAAATATAAAATTGGATTTTTAAATCATACAAAATTCTAGAAAATCGAGAAAATATAAACACTCTACTAAAAATAATAATTTAATATTTTAAAATACCAAAAAATTATTTAAGCTAGTATCAAAAATTCATGGTTATTACATTCTACCCCCCTTAAAACAAATTTCGTCATTGGAATTAAAATAAGGGTGATGTACAAAGAAAATAAGGACAAAATATGGAAATAAGGTCATAACACATCATGACAAATGTGTGAGCAAATGTTGAATGAGAAAATAGATATGTATGTATGACATAATGTATTATAAGTTATACAAGATACAATAGAGAATAATTCAAAAGAAAGATCAGCACACAAAGTATCACGTTCATTCACAGTGTATATATATCAGAGTAATAATAATAATCAGAAGTAAATAGTCAATGCAAACATATAAAGCAAATAAAGGTCATAAGAAAGTCTGGTATGTAGTATAAATAATAAGAATGAGGTAAGTATAACATCAGAGAGTGAACATATATTTGAAAGAGATTACACAAACATAAAGAGAATAAAAGACAAAAAGATCTTAACGAAATATAAATCACTCATACGTAACCAAGTGATAAACATGATAAGACACAATACAAATAACATATGAATCATTTATAAGCAAAAGTAAAAGAAACATTTGAAGAGTATATAAGCAAAACAAAATAGCAAAGAATCAAACATACATATAGTTTAGACAAAGATAATAGACTACATAAAGAGACATGAAATAATAAAAAATCAAATCACAATAGAAATATCATATAATCAGTTAGTAGAATAGACATTCAATATATACATATATATATATATATATATATATATATATATACAAACAAAACACATGAATGCAATCAGCAAATCACATTCAACCAATAAGACATAAATTTCAAAAAATAAAATTTTGTAATTATGTTAAAAAGTTCAAAGATAGTATTATAGCAACACATGTTTAAAGCAGTTAAAAACATAAACGCACGTAAAGAAGCATAGATATAATAATCAAAAATAGCAATCAGTAAAGATAAAACATGACGATAATTTCAATAAAAATAGTTATAGTTATAATCAATAATTTTTGTGAGAGCATATGGCACTAAATAATTATCATACGAGACACAACACTAAGTCAAATATTAAACATGTTTATATAATATAGTAAATATAATCATCATGTATAATAAGCGTTAAAAATAAAAACACATACAAAATAATAAGCATATAAAAAGTCTGAATGCTCATAGTACTAATCATGTTAACAAGATAAATTATGATGAAAATAGTCACAAAATATTATATGATAAATAGACATAAGAGCAAACAAGTGATTCAAAATAAACATATTATATAAAACATAATAAAAATGACATAATTATATATATTCGACAAACAATATGATAAATCAAAAATATTAAAAATATTCATAAGGTAAAATAATAAATATAAACAAGATACAAAAATAATTATTATTACTGTATAAAATCAATTCAGATGTAGCAATATATTATATAGTAGTCAAAATCACATAAATACAATCAGCATAAATTCGTATAAATAAAACACTGACATATTTTAGACAAACATACCATGAATGATTAATGACATGTGAACATAAACACTGATAATACATAAAACAAAACAAGATTAGACAAAGTTGATAATTGACTAAAAATCAATAAAAATATACATCGTAAATATAATAATCTAGGTGAATACACTATAATGAAAAAGAGAATAGTAAGTATAAAAGAATGAAAAAGTAAAACATAACACAAGTAAACGAAAATAATGAATAGAGAATGAACAACAAACAATGACACAAAAATAATCTATAAACACTATAAAATAAATACTGAAAACAACATATGTATACAATGAATATTGCCCATGTATTATTTTGTCATTTGTGGCAATATTCATATCGAAAACGAAGCAAACAAACAACAAATATGCAATGTACTATAAACAACCCATGAGTAAATACTATACATACCTACAAACGCTATTTAGAATCATCTTTTATTTTAGTTATAAAAGTATAATAACTAATGATACGGAATAATGTAACAAAAACATATATAATTAGTAACTCGAACTCCAAACCTAACAATATGAATAAATGCTTGAATATCAAAATAGAAATACTTTGCTCTTAGAAATAACGAAACCAATGTGAACATACTAAAACAACCTAACAAGACAAAACTGACTGATAAGAAAACTATGTACTGAAAATATTGTGAGTTGAATAAATAAAGAATAATAATGTAATGCATGTGTAGAATATTAAAATCATGAACTTATTAATATATATCACAAAAAATACAAACAATATACAATAATCTAGAACATAAGTAAATGATAGATGGTATGACAGAAAAAGCGTACTCATCCACAATATAGAATGCAAAAGTATAATTAAACACAAGAAAATAATCTGAATATCAAATATGCTATGTGATGTATATGTGAAGTCTAGAGTAATGCGAAACACTTAGGGGGGTTATTGGTTGGGATATTTTGGGGGATAATGGGATAATTTTGGGGATTCTATTTCATAGTGTTATTCATTAGGACAATGGAATAAGGATAATACATTTTTGTGTTATTAGTTTTTTAGAAAACTAGTGAGACAATTACACTACTTTGGATAAAATTACCCCACTCATATACAAAAATTTTGTCCCAATAGTAAAAATTTACCCTATCCTCCATATTGGAACAATGTTGTTCCACTTTGAAGGCAATTGGGATAATTTTAAAATATTTTTGTATTACTTAACTAATACATGCAATTATATTATAAATATATGACATGATATATAAAATATAACATATATTAATATTTTAATGACATAATTTAATAACATATATTAATAATATTAAATAATAGTTACGTAATTATAGTATAACTGATTTATATATATATTATAAATTATTGAATAAACGCATTATATAAATATTTATATAATAACATATATTAATATTTTTAATAACATAGTATTATATAATAATATAGTTATTATATAATTAATTTATAATTTATTATGATGGTTATTATATTATATGAGGCGATACTATTGATAATATATATAATAATTACTAATATTGGTAAAATTATTTATGCATTAATATAATATAATACTGATAGTTTGAAATAATATAATATATTAACTATAACATGATACCGGCTTTTAATATAATATAGTTGAATATCATGTTAATTATATATATAATACTATATTATTATATATACTAATATTATATATATATATATTATAATATCTATATATAATATATTATATAAGCTATATATATAAGTAGTATATTTTTAATTTTAATATAAGATTTTTAAAAAAAATATACATTGGATAAAGTAAGGAATGATTTAATATTTTATTTAAGTACATATACCTATGATAGCTATAATTATAATATATTATAACTTAAACATATATTATTAAAAGTATTATATTAATATATTATGTCATAGTATTTATAATCAATTTATATATAATGGTTAGCATACTAATATAAGATGTTAATTAGTATTATTTGGTATATAATTATTATATTTTGTATAAATAAATAATGTATTTATTAAATTATTAACTATTATTAAAATATTAGATTAAATATATTGATATTCATAGTATATTTAATTTATTATATATATCATCAGCTAATGAATAATAATAATTCATAATACATTATAAATAGATTAATAAATGAGTAGATTGTAAGTATAAGTACAAATATTATACTTTTAATATAAAGTAAAATAATATTTATATTATAATAATATACTAAATAATATACTAAACCAATTGGATAAGTTAATTTAGAAGTAATTAATAGATAAAATTATATTTTAATAAGATGTCACATCATCAATTATCCCACATGAATTGTCAAATCAAAGGCTCAAATTATCCTATTATCCCACTTTATCCCATTTTACCCCACTCAAAATATCCCAAAGGGGTAAAATTATTCCATTGGAAAAATTTTCCCATTTGGCCCCAATTTGTCCCAACCAATAACCCCCCTTAATGAATATGATTTGAACAATTGAAAATATATAAGTAATAATTTTCATTAGACTATGTTACTTGTACATTTTTAATGAAAAACATACAATATAACACTGTATGTGTTACATAAAATAATATAATTGTAAAACCCCGTATTTTTATTAGAAGTATATGTGATTTATTAGTGATAAATAATTTTATTTGTGATTAATGACTTGAGGTCATAGATATACTTGGTAACAAGTTGTTAGTCATGTATGAGAGTGGTTTCATAGAGTTCTGTGCACTGGTTTTGGCGGTATACCAAAACATGCATGAAATCTGGATTTTTGTGTCTGTTCAGTCGACTTATGAGTCGACTCATGAGTCGACTAATTAGTTGACTGATGAGTCGACCAATGAGTCGATCGACTGGCTGTATTTGAGAGTTCTGTTTAGTTGCGGGTTTGGGTTGGGAGTCGACCAATGAGTCGATCGACTGGCTGTATTTGAGAGTTCTGTTTAGTTGCGGGTTTGGGTTGGTTTTGTTTCGGGTTTGACCGTTTGTATAAATATTATTCTACCCGAAACCAACCCAGAAACCCATCTGGAATCCAGAGAAAACCCTAGCCCCTCCCTCTCTAAACCCTAGCTTGTTTTGACGAATTTTTGGAGGATTTTTGGAGGTTTTCAGCGGGTTTT